TAATTTATTTTATATGAAATTATTTTTTTAATAATCTGTTAATTTTAATATTTAAAAAAAACTATCGAAAAAAAGTTTGCCATATGTGTAAAAAAAAATTGGTTTTCGGCTGTGCGCGTGTCCATGCTCACGGACCGGTGATCTTGTTAGAAAATATATTCTTGGGCTTTGTTTGGGCCTCCAATAAAAAAGAAGAAATGATCCCACTGAACTGGATTAATGATGATTTTGTTTTATAATTCACGCCACATAATTTATATCTTATGATAGAAAATCCATATATAAAGTGGGTCGAAAATATTAAAACAACCAACTTTATTGCTTTAAGATGTAAACCAGCGAAACTCTCATAATCTTCCACAGTTCATCGAAAAACCATGGTAATGATACTTTAGTTGGATTGAATTAAAATGAAGTTATTTTAATATTTTTTTAAATAAAATAATATTGTTTTGAAGTTTTTAAAAAATAATTTAAATTTTACTTAGAAAAACCAAGTATTATCAAGTTAATTATTTTTATTTTTTCAAAAATCTAGAATGCGTTTAGTTTTTATTCTTTGACGGTTTAGTTTTTATTATTTTTCGGTTTAAAGGCAATGACGATATTTTTTCTCATTATAATTATATTAGTTCCTAAGATATATAACGTGATGGTAAAGGGTTTGAAATTTGCACAATAAATTTCGAATTCAAGTTAGAGTGTACACCTCTTGTAAGAATGTAGGACTGCTGAAATTTTACTCTTTTACTTTAACCCACAAAATGCATTTTTTGGAAAATAGGGTTTTCTAAAATTAAAAAAATATTAATAGCAATGAGATAAATAAATTACAAATACAATTAAAAAAACTATAGTTGATTTAATTATTCATATAAATAATAAACCAAGTTAATATACATTTTTAGTTATATTTGATAGTAATATTATTAGATAATGTCACATGGAAATCTCATTTAATTTAATTTAAAGTTCATCATAAGCAAAGTGTCATGTCAAAGATTTTCAAAATTAAATAATTAAACAGCGTTCAATGACACTGTTAAAACATTACTAACAATCTAGAATTTATTGCTTTACGTTTCAAATAATCTTGGCCCAAGGAGACTAGAAACCAGATATATGAGGTCTGTAATTGAAAAAAACAATAAACCTCGGGTGTCATAAATAAAAACTTTTCAATAGAAGAAACTAATAATGAAGCCCTCCTTTTCCTTATTCACTCCTTACTACCCCACAAACTCTCCATACCGTAAACCCTAATTTTCTTCAATAAACCCCAAACATAACCAAGCAATGGCAGAAACCGAAACCCAAAACGAACCCACATTACCCACAAAACGCAAGCTCGATGACGACCCAATTCCTGAAAACGATCAAGAGCAAGATTATCACTCCGACAAATCGCAAAAAATCGGTTCACTCTCCAACAAATCACCAATCGTCCAAGAGAAACTCACTGAGAACTCGCAAGCTCTAGAACATTCAATCGATAGCCAAAACGACATCGTACAAGAAGGAGAAGATGAAGATGACAATCACTCCAACAAATCGCCAAAAATCGATTCACTCGCCAACAATTCACCAATCCGCGAGAAACTCGCTGAGAACTCGCAAGCTCTAGAACCTTCAATCGATAACCAAAACGAAACCGTACAAGAAGGAGAAGATGAAGATGAAGGTGAAGATGGTGAGGAAGAAGATGGTGATTATGAGGATGAAGAAGAGAACAGGGAGGAAGCGGTGGTGGACAGGAAAGGAAAAGGGATATTGATTGAAGAAGGAGACGACGACGACGACGACGACGAGGACGGGAGTGAATCAGAGGGTGGCGATGATAGTGAGGAGGCAGAGGAGGATGATCCATTGGCTGAAGTTGATTTGGATAACATTTTGCCATCGAGGACGCGAAGAAAAGTTGTGCATCCTGGAGTTTATATTGCTGCTGCTGCTGCTGATGATGATGATGACAGTGATGCGTGATTTTAAAGCAAGGTCAGTTTTAAGAAAATCGAGGTTAATTTGCTTAGTCAAGTTGTAATTAGAATTTAGTGATTTCGCAATGCGGCAATGTATGTTCTAGCAACCTTGATTAGATATTTTGTTCTTTTTTTTATTTTTTTTTAATGATGCTCGTGGAATTGTAGATGTGGTAGCCTGTGGTTTCTGTTTTTAATTTTTTTTTATTGCTCTTTGCAGAGGAAATAGAGTTAGGGTACGTTGGTGATGTTATCCTAGGAATGTTTGTCTTCAAAACCTAGTAGTAATGTTGAAGACGTATGAAGAAGAGATGCCAGGAGAGTTGCGCTAGTATGTTGTTTTTTAATGAGCAATGTGGAGGAAAAAGATGAAATGAGTTTTTAAGTTGTAACAATAGTGATGCTCCAGTAGGACCTTTTCGTTCTAGAGTTGGTAGGAAAAGATACCTGAGTGATTGAGGTGTGTTGGAGAAAAACAAACATGCAGGTTAGCAACAACATGACGGTGTAATAGTTGCCCTTAACTGGGCCGTGATAGCCATGTATAATCAATGTTCCCATTGAGTCTAATTTGCATGTTTGATATAGGGAAAAAAATCCATGAATTCATGATCTAGGAAAATGATTAATGAACTTTGATTTCTGTCCTGATGGGAATTTTTTTGCATTAGAAAGAATATTACTAAATGTTGCCCATCATCAACGCATGCTTCTGCCTTTCACAAGTTTATTTGAGCATTGCTTGCAGCTATGTTGAATAGTTGAACTCGTATATTGTTCTTCCCTGAACTTTGTTTGGGAGTGTACAGAATGTGATTGCTTGTTATAAACAAATAGCTGGTAGCGAGTTCCACACCTGCAATAGGGATTGGAAATGAGTGGGAAAATATGTGTATGAATTTTGATCCTTGAGAATGAGTAGATAATTATGAGATTATGTTGTCCTGTGAATTAGTGGTAAAGAGTTATGGGTACCTTTGTGTGGTTTCATGGGGTGCATCAACTCTTGGCAAACTTTTGATGGAGTTATGGGTACCTTTGTGTTGTTTCATGAGGTGCATCAACTCTTGGCAAACTTTTGGTGGGGCGCCGCAATGCATGCTTGGCAGTGTCATTGCCGTGTTTGTAAATGATGCAAAGACAATAATGTGACAAATCTGTCCAAAACTATTGATGGTATGGATTACAGTTAAAACATTGAAAGAAGAGGTGTATTGGAGTTTGCTAGGATATGACTAACATGCTTTCTGAAACTAAAGTTGGTTTGCTTTATTTGTGAGCTACAATGGGTGGGTCAATGTTACCTACAAAGTGGTAAGTGGTATGGATACGGATACTCTGTTCACTACCCCTCCCAGATCACGGTTTGAGGGTTTAAGCTTAGTGTGGTCGCTAGTTCGGGTCATGTGTCATTTTTATGAGGGTTGTCCATATATATGCCCATATATTATTGCGATGGAGGTAATATTTTCCATTAACATTCTTGCAAGTTGAAGTTTGTGTAGAAAGTTACAAAATTAATAATATTCTTTTGGCCATCAACCATTGGATTGGTTTTGTTAAGATGATCATGTCATGTTTTACTTTCTATTTCAATAAAAGCGATAGAAGTATTGAATGGATGCACTTAGACTAAAACTTCCAGAAAAGATATTTTCCAACTCTGGCTCTTGAAAGTAGCGTACAAATTATCTCTTCCCAGAAAAAACCTCTTGATCTTCTCCAGGCACGCAGCTGTACCAACTTCTTTCCCTTTCTGTTTTATTTACAGGCAACAGATTGAAAAGTTCAGCCTAAATATGCAACCTTTTAGATTCCATTTAATAACAGATAATTAATGAACAATTGGTGTTTTCTTAAATTGTGTGTTTTTCGCAAAAGGGCCACTAATAATGGGATATGGGCCGTCAGTCTTATGGCAAAATTCCCACCCTCACTGCCCTGCTCCACAGGCACACAACTAAACTGTTTAGCTCCGTTCTGTTATAACTTCTGACCTCTGGATTTCCTGGAGAAAAGCATATTTCTTATTTATCCATATCCTATGTTCTCACTTTGACTGGCCGCTGCCCTATGGCAAGTTTTTCTAGTACTCTAAGAAGAGGGAAATAACCTACAGTTATCTGCCTTGTGATGAACTGTCTTAAGTTCCCATCTATCTTGGAGACAACCAGTACACTGGGGATATGCCATGTGGTTATTTCTTGTTCCAACTTGTACATTTCCTACAGGTTGTGTTTTGACGCTGAACTTTAATCTTGTTTGTGTCTCAGCTTGATTCAGTTTGACCCTTCCAAATTTTAGCTGAGTAAGAGTTTGGGCCTCAACCTTTCTTCTAGGGCAGCACAAGCGGCAATATGGCCGGTGGCAGGCCTATTGTTGTAACCTCAGTTGGTCTCAATACCAATCATCCTGATCACAGTTACAAAATTAGCCTTCTTCCAGATTTTTCAACAAGGGATTGCACTGGGAGGGAGGTCTTAGATGACATGTGCACACATTGGCGTGTTAAACCCTTCCTGATGACCTAAATTTGGTTAAAGAATGAATAACTAGCCCACGCCAATTCCTCTCACGAATTCCAGATGTACTGAACTTATTTTTAGGTTTGTTTGTTTATGGAAAAGTGATTTTTTTAAAAAAAATTTAAAAGTTTTTTGGATGTGTTTGTTATTAAAAAAATTGATTAATAAAAAATATTTTTTAGTTAAAAAAAATTTAACTTGATTTTTAGGAATTTTTTTCCTTTTATTTTGGATGGAAAATACTTTATGAAAGTTGTAAAAAAAATTAGAAATACCATGTTATTTATCGATTATATCAAATTTGGTCTTTAAATTTTTTATTGTTATATATATTTTATTTTGAATATTTTTTTTTCAATTTCATTTCTTAGAATTTATTTTTTATATTAATTTTGATTCTCATTTTTATTTTGCTTTTCCCTTATCATTTTTTGATTGAAATTTTTCATCTATCAAATTTAATCCTTATTTTTTTTATTGTTACTTATTTTATTTGAAATAATTTTGTGAAATGTTAATTATTATTATTTTAATTTCTTTATTTTTCAATTTTTTTATTTTTTAGATTTGATTTCTATTATTTTGATTATTATTTATTTTATTTGAGATAATTTATGAAATTATATTTTTTTTCAAGTTCATTTTTTTTCAACTTTTTAATTTGGAAGATTTATTTCTTATTATTTTAATAAATTTTTAAAAAATAAAACATTAATAAATTAATTTTTAGTTCATTTTCTATGACATAATCAAATATTATAAAATATTTTTTAATTTATTTTTCACTACATTACCACACATAAAAAAATAATTTATTTTTTTATAACCTACTTAAATTTTTTTTCCCAGCAAATAAAGTGTAACTTGCATTTGAAGGCTAACCCTTCGGGTTCGGAGTAGATTTTATTTGTCCTCCTAATAAAGTAGTCTTCTCAACAGAACTTTTGAATTCTTTCTACTTTAATTCTCTAAATCAGAGGAGGGCAGAAAAATTAATGAGTAAATTTAAACATATTGATTATTATTATATGCATGTTATTGTTAAATTGTTTCAGCAATCCGGCCACTCTTTGAACTTTCCGTGGTGTGTTTGGAAGGTTGGATCCTTTGGGACTGGACTATCAGTTTATCAAATAAACTTTGAAATCCCGATTCTTCTGTTTTTGTTATTTAGAATTCGTTTATTTGATAAAAAGTATTTTTTAAAATTATTTTTTTGTATTTATTTGGTATTAAAAAATTAATTAATAAAAAATAATTTTTAAAAGTTATGAAAAATTTAAAAATATCATATTATTTACTGATTATAATAAATTTGATCTTTAAAATTTTAGTTGTTATATATTTTATTTTGAATCTTGTTTTTCTAATTTCATTCATTAGAATTTCATTTAATTTGATATTTTTATTAATTTTGATTTTTATTTTTTATGATTTTTATTTGTTTTTTTCTTATTAATTTTTAATTGAAATATTTTTTCTATCAAATTTGATTCTCATTCTTTTTGTTGTCTTTTATTTTATTTGAAATAATTTATAAAATTATTATTATTATTATTTTAATTACATTATCTTTTAATTTTTTTTATTTGTTACATTTGATTTGATAATTATTTATTTTTATTTAAGATAATTTATAAAATTAGATTTTTTTTCAATTTTATTCTCATTTAACTTTTTAATTTGTAATATTTATTTTTTATTATTTTAATAATTTTTAAAAAATATTAATAAGTTATTTTTCAGTTTATTTTTCATGACATAACTAAATATTACTTTTTTTTTTGAATTTATTTTATAAGACACTACTAAATATTAAAAAATAATTCATTTTATAAAAAAAATATTTTTCAACAAAATTTTTTTTTCTTTTTCAGCAAATAAAGAGTATCTTAATCAAAGACCCATTTCCTTGTTTTCTCGAGCTTTAGTTTATGCCGCGTTGTTATTTTGTATGTCATGGCACTGTTGAGATATCTTTAGGCCCAGTTTAATGAGTTATGTTAGTGTCTCTTGAGCTGCTGTCATCCACAATGATAGCGTACGCAGGCAATGTGTGGAGCAGCTGCATGGTCCTCACAACTGTACTGTTCTTAAACACAAGGCTAGGAGGATCATGTTATCTTGGGGTGCCAACCTCTCTCCTCAGGCCGGCTGGTTCAGAGCATGATAACGAAGTTGCTGGTGCTTCGGTCCCTGCTTTATTAATTTCAAGGTCCTCCCTTAGCTTTTGCTGTAAGAACTTGCCTTCGTTTTGCTTGCATCTTAATGGATGTACACATTTGAGCACCTCCCCAGGTGCATATTTCTTGAAATCAAAATCGAGCAGGTCTATTTCCGTACTCTCAACGTCCCGCAATCAACTCATTTGAAATGAAAAGGGACCACCCAAGCGTGGATTTCATATAATTGATTGCGTAGAAAAAACGGTGTCACATTGGAACTGATAGTAACCGGGAAAACGCTGTAGAAGTGGCAGAATTCTGGTGTGCATCTTATCATTGATGCTGGCTTTCAGCTTTAGAACCAGTACGCCCACAAGTCACTTAATTGTATGAATTCATGCATTATAGCATGGCCACCATGCTCTTAGCGTTCGTCTATATCAGGGATCAGGATCCATAGTTGAGGCCTAGCGTTCAGAGTCTTGCTAGATTAGAAGCCAACTTTACTTCTCAGCCTCCTACCATTACTTGTATGTAGAACATGGCCGTTGGCTTATTAAGGTTTAGTTTACACGCGCCACCTCCAAAGTCTCGCCCTGGACCAGCTGACGACATGGTACCTGATCATAGATGAAGGTACATTAGGTTCACCACTGGCCAATCAAAGCCTCTCCTTTACAAAAGATAGGAAGCTGACATCAACCGACCATTTACGTGGTCCTTTACCTCCTACTCCCTTCCTCGCTCCGCCCTTCATTTTTTTTTTGCTCGATCTCTTCTTGAGTGTAGACCATGACCCTTTTGTCCCTCTTGCTCTCTCTCTCGCATTACTTACAAAAAAGTTTCGTTGTGGGGCAATGCTTTTTGGACCATCTGAATCCATAAAAGGGACATCTTATGTTTCGTCTCCCTTTCAACAAAGTCCAATCCCTATTTCCTCCCTACAATTGTACGTGCCAGGAATCAGGACCACCATGCATTGCGCCATGCGTTATGATGCCTCCTGCCTCCATTTGAGCTCAATTTGCTTCCAAA